TTGTTCTTAAATTCACACCAAAAAATCAAATTCATATTTTTTTCCCAATTCGTGATCTTTCTCCAAACTTATTAACTTTATAATAAATTGTGAATATCTTTTAAATCCATGAACATTTTCCAAATTTGCCAACCTTTTCCTAAATTCATGATATTTTTATAATCCGAGAACTATTTTTTCAAATACTTGAACTTTTTCTAGATTCATAAAAAATAATGATTTCTATAATTCTTGAGCTGTTTTAAAATTCAAGACATTTTTGAAAATTTTAGATTTTTAAAAGTCAACAGTCAAAGCGAGTGTATTACCTGGTTGGAAAAGAATGAACCGTCAAGTGGGTTGCGAGTGAGGGGGGAACCGAGCACGGAAATACAATGGACCCTGGACCATGTGAATCGGTACTTAGCACCAGTAGGAAAACTGGCGCTATCACGTGTCGATTAACACCTCTCCAAAGGCCACTCCTATTTGGCGCGTAGGTCGCCACATGCCGAGCTAGCGCGTACCCCCTACAACATGAGATCCTTTTCGTTCCGGCCCATTTCGGGATTCCTACCCCACATTTTTTTATCGTTTTTCCTTTGTTTTTTCTTTCATTTTTTCTTACTTTTCCTTTTTTAAATTTTTTCTTTATGTCTTTCCTTTTTTCTTTTTTGGTTTCCAATACTGTTCCGATTTTTTTGTCTTTTTTCGTTATTTTTTACTTTCCTTTTTCTTTTTGAGGCTATCTTTCAACTTTGTGAACATGTTTTCCCAAAAGGTGAACAAATTTTGATAACCATGTGTATTTTTCGAACTCATGATCATTTTTTGAAATAATAAATGTTTTTTAAATTCACGAGTATGTTCTACAAATTCATGTTTTTTAACTCATGAACAGTTTTTGAATCAATGAACAACTTTTACAAATACACAAACGTTTTGTAAAGAATCTAAGATCTTTTTTTAAACCCGTGAATATTTATTTTGATTAGGCAAATATTTTTTTGAAATGACAAACATTTTTCAGAAATCGGGGGAACCAATTTTGTAATTCACAAACATTTTTTTGTTTTGACGAACATTTTTGAAATGGATGAACATTTTTTGAATACATTAATTTTTATCAGCAAACATTTTTTGAATAGGTGAATTTTTTGTAATTCATGAACTTTTTTAAAATTTTCTGATCATTTTTTACAAATTCATAAACAGTTTTTGAATGTGCAAACACAAACGCTCATAAATAGATACATACACTCACCCAGAACACATCCAAATACACCCTACCCCTCTGAACACCTCCGAGAGATTGAGTCGGTGGTTGACGAAGTTATCCCATGCACTTTGTTATGGAAGGAAACATCACCTTCTACTAAAAGAATATTGTGCCTTTATGAGACACCTAAGTGTCGGATCTGGGGTTTGATCCCTGGTGTATAGGGGTACCACCGGCCTCCTAAGTATTTGACCACATATTGGTTATCCAATTCACAAGAGTTATAACTTGCATAGCTGCTCCTCGGGGATAGACATGCAACTAGGCTGGAAGTTTACAAAAAATACCGAAAGAAACCCATTTTAAATTGAAACTTTATATTTATGTGCGAACAGGTGAAACAAAAATAAAATGAAAACTAATTTAAAAAATCACCCCTCCACCTTGCTGCCCCTTTGGACTCCTGTGCATAGGGGTGGAAATGGATCGGATATTGCTCTTACCACTTCCGTTTTCATATTTTCAAAACAAATGTGAATAAAGATGCGGCTCGGATGTTATTCGAATACGGATACGTATTGGATGTTTACTTGACTCGAACGGATACGAATATAATAGCAACATATGGCTTAAGTAAATTAGTCAATACCTATGTGACATGAAATAATGAACTTGTGACATACAAATTAAGTCAATACCTATGTGACATGAAATAATGAACTTGTGACATACAAATTAAGTCAATGACAAATAGGTTTATGAATAAATATACAATTGTAATGCATAATAATTTCTAAGCTTAATCATGCAAAGAGTAATCTTGACCACTTATTTGGCTTTTATATTGGATAAATGGAATATTGGGGCTAGAATTTTGAAAATTACCTCCCATAATCTTATTCGGATACGGATATATCCACTTCCATATCCATATTTTTGTCAAAATCCCATACCATATTTTTTATTTGTTAATAAATTGGTCGGATACGGTTAATTTCCATTTTGGTTCGGATGCGAATGTTTCGGATACGAATATGCATTTTCTAGAATACGAATATCAGATATTTCGGATCATCCACTAGCACTTTCCACACCTACCCGTGCAAACCACAGCTTCAAGTGTGTTGTGCCCATTACAGTTGCAGATGGGTTGCAACACATGCAACTAGGGTGTATGTTTGAGAAAAAAACATTTTCAATCAGAAAACCGCACATTGTGCATGGGTGAAAAAACATGGTTTTAATAATAAGTGGAAACTATGTTTCTACATCGTTTTGTTGAAAGAAGATTGAGATCATCCTTTCAAATAATTGGTAACAGTATATATCCAAAGTGGGTCATCTCAAGGGAACTCCAGTCGGGCGATGTTGTGTATCGCTCACGTGCATTGCCCACGTGAGATGGGCCTCGCCTCGCAAGAGACTGCGAGTTTTTTCTCATTTCATTTTTTTGGCCACTGCAATTGCAATTTTCAAAAAAAAATCACAAATACAAGACAAAAAAATGAATTCAAAAAATGCTCATGCGGATTCAAAAATGTTCATGATTTTTTTAAAAGTTCATGGAATTTTAAAATGTTTACAAATTCACTAAAATTTATTAAAAAATGTGGTGATTTTTAAAATTCCAACATTTTAAAATAAGATATGAGTATTTTAAGTTTTTATGGAAAATATGACAAAAAAATTCAAAAGCTGTAAATTTTTTAAAATTTGCAATTATTGAAAAAGATAGAAAGAAAACAAAACAAAACAAAAAGAAAAATGAAGAGAAAAACAAAAATAAAACCCAAAAAACTAGTAAAGGAAAAAAATGGTTCAGGAACCTTCTAGGAGGTTTCCAAAACCGGACATGTACCTCGAGAAACTTCCTAAAGCCGGTAGTGGCGGTTCGCTTGCTCGTTAAGTTTTGGTTCGTAATGGGCCGGCTCATCTACCTACGTTTGTGGGTGATTGAACCCTTCACGCTCTCAACGAGGGATACATATCAGTTATGACTCTTTTGCTATAAAAAATTAACTGTCACTCTAGTCTGCTTCCAAATGAGATTTGTTACAAGTGACTTATGGGCTCATGGACTTGTACTAATGTCCAAGAATGGCCCCTCTTGGAAGGAGGTGGAAAGTAAAGACAGTGGGTATATCCAAGATGGATTCAAAAAAAAAAGAGGTTTCTAGATTTATTAGGTTTAATGTACTTTGTTAATGGAGGGATTGTTGTCTTGATTCATGAGTGATAGTGATTAGTGGCCTTCGGTGGGCTTCATCTTTCCATGAGCCTCTTTATATGGGGTAGCCATTTGACTTGGCACTCAACTTTTCATTTTACCCCACAAAAAAAACTTTTCATTTTATGCTTCCAATTTCATCTTTTGACATTTTGATTCCTTTAATGCAAAGACATAATAGCCCTTTAGCTGAGAGTTGATTTCCACCTTTATAACATACTCCCTCCATCCCATAATAGAAGACGTCATTACATCCAATATGTGAGTATATTAGATGTAATGACATCTTATATTATGGAATGGAGGGAGTATGAGATATAAAACTTAACAAACATCAATAAAAAATATATGTTAATTAATTGATGAATAATCTGGGAAGGATATAATCTTTTTTTGAAGAAACAAAAAAAATGCATGCAGGGTGCGCAAATGGCATGGAGCGACATGTATGAGAAGATGGCATGTTGAATAGCCACTTATGGAGGTGCTTGTGACCGGTGATGCCCAATTCCCGAGGTCTCGTAACCATGGACGGTGGGGAGATGACGGGGTAGGAGTCGGAGCAGATCGATGTATATGGTAGGCGTTCTTCACCTCCGCTACGATGATGTCACTGGACCATGTGAGAACAATTTTTCATGGGAAAGGAATCTTTCGTTGTGAAGAACGACCATGCCATAAAAGAATACTCAAATTAGACACGGAGTTTCTGCTTCTGAGATCAAATACAACATTGTAAATAGTAAAATAAACAAAATAAAATAAGAATGAACTTTTCTACAACAAATATTGTTCAATTTTATGCACACCTGCAAAATTTTATGAAGAAAAAACATTCTTAATCTTCTCGGAAAAATCGATTCTTCAAAAAGACTACTAGTACTTCTAAAGCATTTGGAGAGCTGATCTTGTTATTTTTCCCAAACCTCCACAAATATGATCTCATCATAAAAATTTGCACGCGAACAGAAAAGTAAGCAATGCTAGTTACAAAGAAAATCGATTTTTTAAAATTTTACTGCTCATTTTTCTAGACAATTTTTATTTAAATTTTACTGCTCATGGCAGGAGCATTTGATCTTAGAATTAGTAGGAAACCTTCAGTTCAGATTTCTATTCATCCGTTTGACGAGAGCTGCACCCGTAAACGTCAGACGAGAATCACATGCTCGATCGGGGGACACCTGTCCAAGGTTCCCTGCCCCACGCGAGCGACCTCGTCGGAAACGAGTAGACCTTTCACCTCAACCCCTGCCATGTCACCCGCACGACGACGGCGTTTTGCCTGGAAAACACGGCCGGAAACTCGCAAAACACCAGGATTTTACCCCCGGCGAGCCGCCACCACCACCCAACCCCGCCGCGCGCGTCCGCTCCACAGAAAATAATGCATCTCCGTCGTTTTTCCGCCCGTCGCCACATTCACAACCCCACGAGTTCCACACCTTCCTCCGTCCCCTCCCCGGCGAAGTGCAGAATCTTGCTCTCGCCGACTTCCCCAGACACTTACAGACAGTGAAGTAGAACTACTGCCTGCTCGCTCGCAGTAGCTGCAGCTGCAGTGGTGGTCGTGGCATGGCTTCTTCCGTCGCGCCCGCGTCGTGCGCGCTGCCCCTGCATCCGAGGGTGGCCACGGCGGCTGCCGCGGCGGCAGGCCCCTCCTGCCGCGTGCTGCTCGCCTTCACGGCGCCCCGCTCGGCCGCGTCGGTGCGCCGGGCGGGGATTCTCGCGCCGCTCCGGTGCTCGCCGCTCGAGGATCCCGGCGCCACCGGCAGGGACGAAGGGGGGAAGGAGAAGGGGGGCGTGAGCAAGCGGGTGCGCGGGAGGCCCATGTGGAGGCGGATCCTCTTCGCCTCCAAGAAGACCCGCAGCATCATGATTCTCAACGCCCTCACCGTCATCTACGGTAATACCTACCTTAGTACCTTCCTTGATCTCTCTGCAGTTCGTACGATACGCTCAAGGTGTTAAAAATGGCGGCCTCATGGATTGGCACAAGCAACAATTCTCCATTGTCCAGTAGCGCAACTTTACTAGGAAAAGTCTGTGATCTGCTCCCTCCGTTTCTAAATATAAGACTTTTTAGAGATTTCAATAGGGACTACATGTTTGTAGAGTTGTAGACACATTTTAAAGGGTAGATTCACTCGTTTTGCTCCGTATGTAGTTCATATTGAAACATCTAAAAAGTCTTATATTTAGAAACAGAGGGAGTAGAATTCAGTATCAATCATGAAACTCAGTGTTTGACAACTTCCTTTTCTTTGTTCCTATTTTCTGCAGCAAGTGATATTCCAGTTCTGAAAGAGGTTGAAGCCCTCACAGAACCTGCTGTTTTCAACATGGTGCGCTTCGTTATCGCGGCCATCCCCTTCCTACCATTTGTGATACGCGCATTTGGCGATCGCCGTACACGAAATGGGGGATTAGAGCTAGGAGTTTGGGTTAGTCTAGCGTACCTTGCTCAAGCAATTGGGTTGATCACATCTGAAGCTGGGCGAGCATCCTTCATTGCAGCCTTCACAGTACGCCCTCCTGCACAGCTATTTTGCTCTGTTGTAATGATGGAATTGGCACATGTTGTGGAGATATCTAAAAGAATCCTGTGTGAGCACTGAACAGGTGATAGTTGTGCCTCTAATTGATGGCATTTTTGGCGCCTCAATCCCCATGCTGACTTGGTTCGGGGCCATAGTATCGATTATTGGTGTTGGCCTGCTAGAATGCGGTGGCTCTCCTCCTTGTGTAAGTACTACGCATTTAGTCGTGTTCCTTACACAGTAGCTCTTGTTAGCTTATTCAGTTGTCCTCATAATGGAATTCAGAATTTACTAGTACAACACTTCAATATCCTATTTTGTGTAGCTATCAACAGTGATACTCTGAATAAATATTTTTCCAATAGCAATGTCCAACCAATTCAAAGCACTCCATCGTTTTGTTGAAAGAGAATTGAGATCGTCTTTTCAGAGATTTGGTTATAGTATATAATTTTCATCTGTCTTGACAAAGAACATAATTTTGATTTTGCAATCCTCTGTTGTTGTTTCCAAAGATTGGTGACGTGCTGAATTTCTTGAGTGCGGTATTTTTCGGGATCCATATGCTTAGAACGGAGCAAATATCGAGAAGTACAGACAAGAAGAAGTTCATGGCTCTACTTAGCTTTGAGGTTCATAACTGAATTGTGTACTTGCAGTCTCCGATATTCACTATGCTGCTGTAATCATCTTGGTCAGAAATGGGAACCACCTAACTGACCATCTATCGTTCAGGTCCTTGTTGTGGCTTTCACCTCGATAGTCTGGTTTTTGCTCAAAGATGTCTTTGCTGAGGTCCACGATTCCAGCTTTGAATCATTGACTTTTGGTACGCTTTGGGATTCGGCGGCTTCTTTTCCTTGGATACCGGCACTGTACACCGGAGTCTTTTCAACGGGGTTATGCATGTGGGCAGAGGTTAGCCTACTTTTGAGAACCTTGTAGTAGTTTCATGAACAGTCTGGAGAAGTTTAATTTATGAGATCATCTTACATGTGTGTCTGTGCGCAGATGGTAGCGATGGCCCATGTTTCAGCAACTGAAACTGCAATCGTTTATGGGCTAGAACCGGTATGGGGAGCCGCATTCGCTTGGTTTCTCTTAGGTGAAAGATGGGACAATGCTGCATGGATTGGAGCTGCCCTTGTACTATGTAAGCTTGATGCTGCTGTCCGCTTTGTTCTGTGCTCTTGTAGTTGCATTTTGATATTCAGACAGACAATACCTTAATGAAAGTGTTCATATTAACCTGTCACAACAAAATCTTCAAGCTAACTGAATATAACTTGACATCCTTTTCATCAGGTGGAAGCCTTACTGTACAGCTATTCGGGTCAGCTCCCGAAAAATCCCAGAAAGTTGAATCGCGCAGCGGGAATACATTTGAATCCCCACTGGAACGGCAGAACCGATTGTCGCTATCTGCTATCCCCGTCGATTCCAGGAAGAACATAGGGAGCCAATTAGAGAGGTAAATCTTGCCTCTTGGCTGTCAACTGCTTCACCAGTTATCCATTTCCTGTGCTCTTTTGTGCTGTCACTAGCATATTTTACTTTTCTTAAGTTCTATTTATATTTTCTGTAAAACAGGAAGGATAAAACATTGTAGCCCAAAGTCAAGGGAGTAACGCATCATCCGAAGAAAGTGTCAAGATTGCAACTGTATGTATACCAAAACAAGAGGCCTTATATCTGGCACATGCTTTGGTTCATCAAGTAGATGCGAGTGCAACCGGCGTTTGCTCTACGAGAAAGTTTGCTATTCCATGATCTCGGAGGTTAGTTGCCATTTAGGGCATAAACTGGACTAACTAGTGACTAGAGATAATCTAGTGCCCAGTATATATTAGAAAATGTGGCATTACTGGCTGGAAACTCCGAGCCGGTGGTTTACCTTGTATATGCTACAGCATGCCGGTGTGAAGTGGCAATATAAATGGTAACATTGTGTAGATTCCATGTAAATAAATATATTTAACATAGCAAAGATGATAGTGAAGGATTACATGTAATTGTATTGAACATGCTACCGTTGTTGTCAATGTTGCAAGTCAGTTGGTAGGTGTACTGGTTTAAATATTTAAATTGGATCTTAGCTTTGGACAGTCACTTACGATCTGCTTTTATGTTCCATTTTGTATTTATTTTTTTGCGGAAGTTCCATTTTGTAGTTATGTTCCTTTTTTGGTGGAAGTTCCATTTTATGTTCCATTTTGTAGTTAAGTATGTTCCTTTTTTTTTTGCGGAAGTTCCATTCATATTCCATTTTGTAGTTATGTAGTTCTGAAATTATCATAGTACCTTACATGAGTATTTCTTCAGACGCATACATTACATGTAACTGTATTGAACATGCTACCATTGTTGTTAATGTTGTAAGTCTGTTGATAGGTGTACTGCTTTAAACCATTTAAATCGGATCTAGCTTTGGACTGTCAATGATGATCTCCTTTTATGTTCCATTTTGTATTTATTTTTTTGCGGAAGTTCCATTTTGTAGTTATGTCCTTTTTTTGGCGGAAGTTCCATTTATGTTCCATTTTGTAGTTATGTGTTCCTTTTTTTTTTGCCCAACCCAACCCAATCGTCGGACTACTATAGGTCACGTCGTTCTGCAAACAAAACCACAGCGCATTTGAAACGGAAAAACCACCAGCAGCACAGTGCGGCAGTAGTACATCACAGTGGTCCTGCCCCTGCATGCCGTCCCTGATCTCTCGGAAAGGCGCGGTCGCCCTGGAGCAGCTTGTCGTTTGGAGAGGGCCAGAGCTCCATGCATGCATGCACGCATATGTAGTGTATCATCCTGCATGTGACTGACAGGCAGCCTCCCCTCTCATCCCGTGCCATTCCATTAACAAAACACGGTGGGGGCTCCCCCGCTCTGCGCCGCTGCGGCGCAACGCGGCTCGGTCGGTCGGTCGACGCATCCTTCCCGGCCCCGTCGCCCCTCCGCCCCTCGCCCAGATCCAGATCCGCCGCAGCGTAGTCGCCCACCCCTTGACACAACCAAATCTCATCTCATATGAACGGAAGAGGAGAGCTGAGAAATCACCAGCCAAGTTGCACCTAGTAAGCTACTCCCTCCGTTTCATATTACTTGTCTTCGATTTGTCTAGATACAGAGGTATCTATCACTAAAATGAGTCTAGATACATCCGTATCTAGACAAATTCAAGACAAGTAATTCGAAACGGAGGGAGTAGAACGTAGGTGGTGGCTGGCTGACGGGAAAACAGGCGATGATTCCCTCCCTCACCAGTCAGCCCAGCTCGGCTAAGCGGCTATTAAAATTTATATTAAAATAAAAATTAATATATAAACCCGTAGCCATCCATGCAATCCACATCAGGCCCTGCGGTTAGACTAAGCTAAACGGGGCCGGGGCAGCGCGGGCGTATGGTGCGGGAGAGCGACGTGCGGCTTCTCCGATTGGTCAGTCGTTAGGCCAGGCCCCCACGGCCCATGTGTCCTCCCCGCCCCGCGCGCGCCCGTCCGCGTCGCCGGGTGGCTGTCCACGATTCCGTTCCCCGCTCTCTCTCTCTCCCTCTCCCTCCCTCTTTTTCTCTCCGGAGGAATTCCGTTTCTAGAATTTTCCGCTTCGCTCGCCTTTAAATCTGCTTTGCGGCCGAACCGGAAATGCAACGCGCGCGGGAGAAAGAGAGGAGAAGAAAATCCGTGTGCGCGCCGGCGGCCGCACGAAAGGAAAGCCGCGTACGCACGGTTACACTTACAACTGACTGACTGACGTGCGTACGCGTGGACGAGCTCGCTCCGCCAATCGCCGAGCAGCGACCAACGAACGCCTTTCTTTTCTTCCTCTTCCTTCCTTCTCGCCGTTTCTCAACTTTTTGGTTTCGTTTTTGCCACTAATCAGGAGCTCTACTGATGATGTGTAAATCTGTTGGTGGAGCACAACGGTGCATGGTCCCGGGACAGAGCACGAAAGGAGGCGCGTCCCAAATACCCCAAATGAAGTCTCATTCCTTCCACGTTGGCAGGCAGGCGGGCGGGCACACATCCCATTCCTACACATGCATGATCTCGATCCGTCGATCGGCCACCGTAACCATAATTGAAGCTCTTGCAACATCGATCGCGTGATGCGCCTGGCTTAGCTGGAACGAGATCAATTATGGATGGGAGGGACCCGTTCCGCGTAAGCGGGAGGTCCCCCTCTATGCTGTTCGATGAACATTTCACAGCATAGCTGTGGAAAACTTGGTCAGTTTTCCATCAACCACCGGAGCTCTAGCACAAGAAAGACCGGCGCATGAATGCTCTGCAGCTTTGTACAGAATGATGAGGTTTACACACAAATTATGTGTCGACGGTTGTGTTGATTGGGCTTGTTATCGTCGACATGTCACATGTGTAGTTAGGCATGCCATTTTATTAAACGAACAGTAATCTTTTTAGCACAAACGAACAGTACTTAATTAGTCTTAGGCATACAATCCCCGGCTGATCCTGTGTGACCTTACTCATATCTTTGCTAGTTGGTCTTCTTTGTAAATAACGGCGTACATATCATTTTCCTCGGTTCCTCCTGCCCCCAAGAAAGTTAGGGTTCCTCTGCCTCTAGCCGGCGCCGCCACCGGTCCGCCTCATCTCTGATGGCCTTATGGCCATTGGCGTGATGGATCATGCCTTTTTGCCGGTGGGGGGACTCTTTTTTTTTACTTTTTTTAAGTTTTGTTAGGGTTTGTGTCCTGCTGAGGAAGGCGAGACAACGACAACTCCCTGAAGATGGAATAAGGTTCTCCTCGCCTAACCCCATCCCGGTGGCACGTCTAGCATCGTCGGTCGGTGCGTGGATGTTTGTCTCCGGTTTGTTCGTCACATTTGTGTGTCTTTCAGTTGGATCGTCCTTTCGATCTAAACTACTCCTCATCGGCGGCGGTTGTTGTTCCGGGGCGTTGGTCCTATAAGGCCTTAGCACGATCGCTTCCTAATTGTCTACTATAACAAGGTTTGTCTGGCTCCGGCGAGGGAGGGACAATGACGGTGGCGCGCCTTCGGCTCACTTCAATACTGGTAGCCGTTGATGGGTGGTCTATAAATCTAAACGTAATTTTTATTATTTCTAGTTTTCGTTGTACTGCCATGATTAAAGATAAATAAATTAGATTTTTTTAGAAAAAAAAGTCTTCTCTATAAATAAGCAAGATTCACATAAAAATACGAAACTTTTACGAGACAAAAACTACACTTCAACTCTTCTCTATAAATAATAAGGAAGACTCTCGTGAAATGCCCTTTTTCTCTACCAGACGAAAAAATACTTCAAACGGTGATCCCGATCCGCTCCTATAGTATAGTCAACTTGCAGTCCTATATGTGCACTGTACGTACTTTGGTCCTGAAAGATCGTGCCTCCTCTGCATAAGCCCAGTTGCCACCCAGCAGTTCGATCGCCGCGGCAGCAATTCGGAATCAAATAAAGCTTACGTACTAGCAAGCTAGTTTCCACGTCCAGTTGCAATTATTTAAGAATCAAAGACGAAGCATCACGAAGCAGGCCGGCCGGCCGGCCGACTTTGGAAATTTGGTTTGGTGAGATCGGAGGGAGGCGGTCAACCTGATGCGATCCTCGCTTCATCTGATGGCTACGTACGCCCTCCGCCTAGCCCCGGATAAACAAACTAAACTCCCCCATCTCGCTTGTTTAATCCGGGCGGGCAGACCTCACATCTCGCGCTGGCATCAGCCGCTAAAACCTACGCTCTCCGCTTCAAAACGTACGTAATCCCCATTTGTATCATCGCCGCTGTAAGACAATAGTTTTCGGGGAACCGGCACAACCCTCTACTGGTGGCCTATCACATATATATAATGATGTGGTATACAACGTTACAGTATACACATATAAAGACAGAAGCTATACAGTCTAACACCCTCCCTCAATCTTAGCCATTTCCTAAAGAATCTAGAAGGGTAAGATTGCGCCTGCAAGCCTCAAACTGTGGTAAAGGCAATGGCTTGGTGAAAATGTCTGCAAGTTGATCCTTGGAAGAAATAAACTGGATCTGTAATTGCTTCTGAGAGACACGTTCACACACAAAGTGATAGTCAACTTCAATGTGTTTCGTTCGGGCATGGAATACCGAATTTGCAGAAAGGTATGTAGCACCGATGTTATCACACCAAAGGACACGAGGCTGTGATTGGGATATACCCAACTCCCGGAGCAAAGACTGTACCCAGATAATCTCCGAAGTGGCATTGGCCACAACTTTATACTCAGCCTCAGTACTGCTACGCGAGACAGTGGCCTGTTTCCGAGCACTCCAGGCAATCAGGTTAGAGCCAAAGAATACAGCATAACCCCCCGTGGATCGCCTGTCATCTGGATTGCCAGCCCAATCTGCATCAGAATATGCTGAAAGACAACCAGAGGAGGACAGTCGAATATGCAATCCATGAGCCACCGTGAATCTAATGTAGCGCAAGATACGCTTAACAGCAGACCAATGAGTACCACGGGGTGACTGCAGATACTGGCAGACTCGGTTAACAGCAAAGGAAATGTCCGGTCGTGTGATCGTCAAGTACTGAAGACCACCAACAATGCTCCTGTACTCCGTCGCATCAGAAGAAGACAGAAGC